GGTGTTTGTATATTATATATATATATTTTTTTTTTTCAGACATGGTGACCTGTCATACATGTTTATGTAAAATAGTTGTGTGTATATATATATATATATATATATATATATATATATATATATATATATATATATATATGTTTATATGGATTATAGTAATCCTTTGTTTTTATTTGTCTGTCTGTCTCCCTTGTATGTTCTTATGGACCTTTTATGAGTCTGAAAAATATATATATATATTTATTCATTCTCACTTCTGCCTTCCACATAAATAAAATAAAATATAGAATAAAATAAAACCAAATCAAATCAAACTTACAAATGATAAACATCACAAGCAATTTGTCATAAATGCCAATAATATTGAATAGAATAAAATAAATTCAAAGCAACTTACAAATGGTAAACATCACAAGCAATTTGTCATAAGAAACATTAATATCTAATACAAATAAAATATAATATAAAATAAAATAACCTCTGAGGGGTAAAACAGCATTAATCAGCCCAATATTTTAAGTCTTAAGCTCATTATAAGAACAATGAACAACTGATTGTGGTTGCATTAATGTATACAATTTATACAATTTGACAATGCAGTATTAAAGGTACATGGATTTTTGATTGATCTTACTAATAATATTACAATATCCATTTTAGACTGAACTTTTCTGAGAAAAAATGATCTGACCGTTTTAAGCTCTATAATTTTTTTTTTTTTTTTAAATGGAAAGTCTATAGCAGTCTAACAGTAATTCCCTTTAATGAGTGTTTGCAAATATTTCGGTGACTCAAATGCCTTCAGTTTTACTCACTTTACTTACTGCGGTCACAAAATGAGAAGCGTATAGAAAAACACTGAACTGTTGAACCAGGAGATAATTCATTAAACAGGCCCTGCGATGATGATCCTGGGCTCTTGCGGTCAACTACACACATCCTTACCCCATTGATTAGATGTGTTTGAGTGTTGACCGTATCGGGTGTTCAGAGGTGGTGTTAAGTTGAAGTGTGTCAGCGGTGTGTGTGTGTGTGTGTGTGTTGGCAGGAGTGCAGTAGATGTGCAGATATGTGTTTGTTGGCCTTGTGTAGATGTGTGTTGGCACGCGGTGCAACTCTGAATTTGGTGTCAGTAGCTCATGAGACGACGGGGTTGTAACTTTTTCTCTCTGTCTGTCTCTTTCTCTCACTCTATTACTCTTTCTTTCTCACTGGACAGTTATTTACGCTGGTTGTTCCTTTACACTGGACCGCCTTCATCTAATGAATCATCTTCATTTTACAGGAAAGAACATGTGTCCACTGACCCACTAGTGTGCTTCAAAGATCTCAGGATAACTTTATAACTAAAATAATATAGGTTGAATATTAATAGAAACACTGTATGATAACTAATTTTGGTCATATAAAACCATTTTGTTAAACATTTTTAACTATTAGCCACTGGTCCCAGTTAGAATCTAATTCGATTTTGGTGTTTTGGATTTACACATTCTGACCTGGTTAAAAGCTTTCGTTTTTTTGCGGTTTACACCAAAATGATATCAAAACAAAGGAAAACCAGTCCCCATAATCAAAACTGTATGCAGCTCAAGTATCACTTTCCCCATTTTTTGTTTCCCTTCTTGGTTTAACAAAAGTTTAAAGGGTTAGTTTACCCTAAATTGAATATTCTGTCATCATTTTTCAACCTCATGTCGATCCAATAGTGTATAACTTTCTTTCTTTTATGAAATGCAAAAGAAAACATTTTTGAAGAATTGTTTTTCCATATAGTGAAAGCCAGTGGGGGCATAAACAACACTGGACCCCACTGACTTTCATTGTATGAACAAAAACAGACATTCTTCAAAACGTCTTCTGTGTTTTATAGAAGAAAGTAAGTCGAGGTTTAGCATTACAGGACTGAATTGATGACTTTTTTTTTTTTTTTTGTGTGTACTATCCCTTTAATCCATTCATGTGGTTCTACAGGACAGCATACTTGTAAGATATCCACACCATGCATCATTTTAAGGTTTGCATGACTAAGGAGGTGAAAATGTCCTTCCACTGAAACGGTTTATCTCCATTAATGGTTATGTATTCCTGTATGGTCGTTAGGGAGCGATACCATATTTTTTAAATGATTAAATGGTTTTCACTGCATCGGCTGTGGTTTGGATTGTGACGCGAATCAAAATTTCATCCAACATTTTTCACGCATGATTCAGTTCAGCCTCAAAGAATGGGTTTAATAACATGTTCATTTGTCCTGTGAGTACCTGTACAACTGAAATCATTTTACGTACCTTTTCATGTTTGCTGTTCTTAAAGTTCTCTAATAAATTCTACCTAAAATATTCCTTTTATGCTCCCAAACCCAAATAACTTTGATGGATGGTGGACATAAATATTGTTCCCTGACATTTACAAGTGTTTTTCCTATGGTATACTGACTGTATTGCTTTTGGCACTGATAAATACAGCCCCAAAGCACAGATTTTTCACTCGTAAAAATGTTCGTTAAAAGTGGGCTGAAGGGATCTAATCACAAGAGAGAAGTTAATGAAAACCATAGAATATCAGTCAGGGTTAAACATCAAATCACATTCAGTCCTCTGCCAATGAAGATCAATTGTCTCCCTCCAAGGCCATTCATAATAGTTGGTCTTTATTAAAGACACCCTTCTTTCTCCAGTCTTTCAGCAGAGCCTCTCTTCATCCCTCCCTTCATTTGCTTCAGACAACATGGAGTGGACTGACTGTGACAGAGATATTCTACACCATCCTAAGTTTCTTTAACTCTGTCCTTAGAGGAACATTAACACCTCGCTGAGCTTTTTGATTTATACTTTACAAATACACAATTTAATTAGAATATTCTAGAGTGGGATTTCCGTCATTGTCTCGCGGTTTGAAGTGTGGATATGCCAACATATGGAACATGCCATCTCTGAATACTCAATTTAAGGGTAAGACAATTTTAGGGTTTCAAAAATAAGAATAGGCTACTGTATTCGCTCAGTTTAATCCAATTAATTTAGTTTGTTGTGTGCTCGGAATTCAAACGAACCAAATAGCCTATGCGTAATGCTGTTGTACAGTTTATTATTCAGAGACATTGTTTGTTTAAATAATAGCAGCCCATAGCTTACTTGCAGTTTCAGCTGTCTTATGAACATGCCGTTCTTACATGCGACAACCATCGAGTTTTATATTAAGGATGCATATTAGCTAATATGATAGGGGAAGACCGGGAAGTATTGTGACACCTTTTTCGTTAACATCTGAAATGATGTGTTTTTTTGCGTGATGTGTCACAAACTTTGGCCTATAGGCTAATAACCATATTTATCTGTTACCTAGGCTATTAGAAATTTACAACGAATACATGAATTAAATGAATGTCAAGTAGCTACAAAGAGTGCAATTGTTACAATATTTCCATATCAGGAAACATTTTTTCGTTTAACATGTAGCTACATTTGTGGTAAGCAAATATAAAATAGGCCTAATCATCGCACCATCACATTTCATTTAATTCAAAACAGCAATTAAATAGGCTACAAAATAATGACAACATAAAAAAATGGAAAAAATAGAAAAACACAGTGCGTTTGTGTCAAGTGGACACTGTCCCGTTTTGTTAAGTCTTTATAAAACTATGTTTCAATTTCCCTCCCCGTCTGATATTTATTTATTTATTTATTTATTTTTAAACAGGTGAAGTGCTTGTGTGGACGTTATAGCCTATAAAATTAAACAAGATTAACATGACTTGATTCAGATGATATCTCTTGTTCTGTCATCATTCATTCAACATGCATTTTTTTGTTCTCCTGTAAATCCTTTATATGTTATTACACGCAACACACTTCTGCTGTCATGAAGAATGAATGATCTCACCCCTGTAGCTAATTTGGTTAAACCGATGGTGTTACAACTCACTCATTGGCGCAACATTCCCCGATTTCCCCTGATTCAATGCAGACTACATGTGTTCGACATTTTTACATTATGAAAACAATAAATTACAACAACAACTAAAATGACTAGGACTCCTATCTTAAATTCCTAGAATTATTCAACAAGAGTTTCAGTTTGCGTATAGCCTATGGTCTGAACAATTATTAAATCGTTTTTATTTACTATTTAATTGGCTTAGCTGGGCATCTTATGATTTAAATGAACTAAATCCATATTTGTATTGAATTAATAAATAAACTAAAACTATCCAATCTGTGGATCTCCGTGTCGATCTAAAATGTGTTATTTAAAGCACCCTAGGGGTAATGGGCGCAGCGGGTAACCTAGTGCCTGTGCCAGTGCTTCACTGTAGCAACAGTAGCTCGTAGCCTCATAACCCGTCTCTCTCTCAGGGTCACCATGTGCCACATATAATTCTCTCCCGTATGTGTTCTTGCGCCCCCCGGCTGGGCTTTGATCTTCACACCCGTCATTATGACGAGGAATAGAATTCCCCGTGAAAAGAAGCGCCTTGCCGCTTTATGACGAGATAGGCTATAAGCAAAGTGCAGTCAAGTGTTTCTCATTGTCTTATTTTTTTTTTTTTTAGGACTTAAGCTTAAAATTTCATAGGTTTGTGAGGAAAATTTTAGAGCAGCTTAAAACAGCGCTGCTGAGATCATTGATCTTAAATAGCCTAGGCTACTTGATCAATTTTATTAACAATAATAGTTCAGTTGTAAGCTAATAATAATAGGTTAGTTAAACTAATCCAACCAAGTTTGCTGTGTTGATATTAGTTAGTTGAACTCTTTACCAAAAAAATTAACCCAATGAAGATTTGTACGAATTTCTACCGTCAAAACTGGTGCTGTGCATCTAACGATTAATTATCTTGAACATATTATAGTTCTTGTAATCTGTGATATGCATGATATTTAGCACTTTGACAAACTTGTACATTTATAGTTTAAAAAAAAAGGTTTATAAAATCACTGTTTCTTTGTCTCTTGTTTCTCTCTTCTCTCTCACCCATTAAAGCAGTCCACTCACAGCTCTCCCTTTAAAATTTGGATTCTCTGATCACCTGGGCACAGTAAACACCCTAATACACTCTGAAGTTACATCTCTCAGAAGGTCACTCATCTTGGGATTCTTGCCATCCAGGACAAATGGACGTCTTTGGCTCTACTTCTCTTTTCTCTTCCCCTTCCCCTTCCCCTTCTTACACCTTTCCATTTCTCACTAACCTCTCCCTTCCCTCATCCTCTCCTTCTCTCTCCCCATCCCCAAGTGTAGCCTCCACTGCTCTCTTCTGCTTTTTCCTATCCCTCCTTTCTCTACTGGGCATTCTGGGCAACCTGTACACCCTGGGGCTTCTGATTCGCCGCCGCAGGATGTCAAGGCGGCGGCGTACCTCTCCTACCTGTTGTTACAGCTCCTCTTGCCTCGGCACCTCCTCCCCTTCTTTCTCTCCCTCCTCCTCCTCTCCCACCTCGTCCTCCTCCTCTTCCTCCCTTCACCTGCAGGTTCTGAGTCTGGCTTTAGCAGACCTGGTGTACCTCTCCACTGCCCCCTTCATCGTGTACGACAGCCTGGCGTCTGACTGGGCCTTCGGTGAACTAGGCTGTCGGCTCCTACTCAGTCTGGATTTGCTCACCATGCACGCAAGTATCTTCACCCTCACTGCTATGAGTCTGGATAGGTATCGAGCTGTGGCCGATCCGTTGGCAGCCTCGTCCACACCTTCCTCTGGACTCCTGCGAGTCGCTTTGGCCTGGGGCTTTGCCGTGGCTCTCAGTTTGCCCATGATGATCACTTTGCACCTCGAGGATGGAGAGAACCAGGAAGGCAAGTTGTGCGTTCCCGCCTGGGACGAGCAGAGTTCGAAAGCCTACCTCAGTGTACTCTTCTGCACCAGTATCCTAGGCCCAGGGCTGGCCATCGGAGCTTTGTATGCAGCTTTGGGGAGACTCTACTGGGTATCTCAGACGCAGCCAGCTTGGGTCGGAGGGAGCAACGCCTACCCGCCCCGTGCACCTCGCCCCAAAGTCCTGCTCCTCATCCTGGGAATTGTGTTGACATTCTGGGCTTGTTTCCTTCCATTCTGGATCTGGCAGCTTCTACCGTTGTACCGGCCTGAGGTTCTGCGCGTGGTGCCGGTGGGCACGCAGGTGACGATTAATCGCATCCTCACAGGGCTGACTTATGGAAACTCGTGTGTGAATCCCTTCTTCTACACACTGCTGACAGGCAAGCGCAGGCGTCCCAGCAGGAAGGCCATAAGTGCGGCTGCCCCACTCTGCAACAAGGGCAGCTCTGAACAACAATAACAGCTGCCCACTATTTTATTCGCCAATTAGTGCAGCCCATGACCAATAAGACTGTGCATAGTTATGTTCATTACACAGATTACTAATTTTGGTGCTAAAGGGCTTAAAGATTATAGCTTTGTACGCCGTGCAAGTATAATAATACTCTTTTATCCAAGCCACTGATGGTGTGTCTTCTCTGCTGGACCTTTTACATATATAATCATAGTTCATATGATCAGCAATATGGTCCCTGCAAACCAAAATGAAATAATAAGTGATGAAATCTTACGGAAGCGTTTCTGAAATCTTTAGGGTTTGTCACCTTTGACACAGCAATCAATTCTGGTCAAGCCGCTGTTAAATACTAGTGGACAAAAATGTGTGAAACATCTGTTTATAGGACAACTTGAAAGGGACAAAACAAGCTTTGTCAGGATTCGTGAATCGCCCCCAGGATACTGTAAAAGCAGGTGTGAAACATTTAACTTACCAAATTGGTTTAAGTGCAAAGGAGAAATTACATGGATTTGGCTCAAAGCTAAAGGACTTGTCAGAGTTTGCTCTTTTGAGGAGGATAAATCACTTCAGTCACGAAGCCAGGATAAACAATCACCATTCTCCAATAGGACATTATGTTCTCCATGAGGTACTTCATTATAACTAAAACCCAATTTTAGCCAACAGATCTGTTACAATCCTGACTTTGTGTATTTATTGGCACCTTATTTGAGTCATTCATTTTTTTATTCTACCTGATTCTGTTTTTTTTTTTTGTCGCAATTAAATTGAATTATGCAATTTTAAACAAAATTTAAAATTTTGAACCACTCTTAAAAAAACAGTAGTCAACATTTGAAGTGGATCAAAACCTTTCATCAAAGTTATACATGAATTTCGAACAATACCCGTTCTTGTCTTAGGACAACTTTCCACTTCAAATGTTGACTGCTGTAAATTGTTTCAGTAGATCTACACAAATATGTTCCATTTTTACAACTGCATCTTTGCCCCTATTTATGCATGTTTATGGACAATGTCATCTAGGGAAATATTTATATCTCTAAAATTTTGAGATCAAATGTTTGAAAAAAAAATCATGCTGTATTTGAAAATTTGCACCAAGCCTGGACCCTTCAAGATATATTTTTGAAAAGATTTTGTTTTAATTGTTCTAGCTTACCTGTATTATATTTGTTATGATTTACTGTTTAATAATGCATTGCTTTGCACAAGAAAGCTTGGCTGAAAGAATTATAAATGAAATCTGAGGTGCTTATTATATCATACAATTGTCAATAAAGAAATATTGTGTGTAAGAACAACAACAGAATGGTCCATGATCTGAATGAGTCTTCTGGGAAGCTTTAGAAGACTTCCTGACACTGCCTAAATGATACTGCAGAAACGTGACACTGTAAAGCAGTACTGTCCTTATTACAATAGCAGATGAGTGGGGTTTTCAGTGAAGAAAATGAAGAGAGAGGGAAGGGCAGAGAGATGGAGAAAGGCATTAGAAAGGAGAATGGATGAGAAATTAATTAGAAATGAAGAGAAAAACGCAGAAAAGACCCAGAGAGAAAAAAAAATGAAATATGGTTTTCATTCAGGAAGCATTTATTTATGTGTCTGCATTGGCCTGGACTATGCTTTTGCTAGCATTCACTTTTTTGTGGGTCTTGCATGGGGTGTGTGTGTGTTGCACTGCAGTGCTTGGATGTGACTGTGTTTTCATTGGATAATATCAGCCTTATTGAGTCTGTATCAGCTTTTTGCACTTTCTGAAACTGACCCACAAATGTTGGTGTGTGTGCTTCAACCTTCATGTTTGGTTAGTGAACTTTGTAATGCAGTTTGTGATTTATTGGCATCATTATAAACAAGTACAGACTACCCAAAAAGGAACCTTGTATTTGCAATATGTACAATGCATGTGTATTGTTAAATGGCAGCACTGTATTGGTTTGTGGTTGCCTGCTGCTCTGTGACGCACATGAACTATTGTTGTTTGAAAGAGAGCGGTGAAGATTGTAGACGACTGTGTGTGTGTGTCACATGGGTGTCTGTCTTTAGCCCCTTGGAGATGTAATTGGGACTTGGCAGTCTTGGCAGGTGTTTATTAAGATGAAACATAAAGAATATAAAATCAACAATACACAAATAACAACTAAATAATGTTATACATCCTGAGTTAGATAAGCTGGATAAAATGATCAAACACCTAATCTGCCTTTAAAATACATTTTTATTTTTGAGGTTGTGATTTCATTGAGCTATATCATAAAACACTGATGTTCTCTTCATTTGGTCTAAAAGCTCCCATCCAGTCACTATAATGTAGTTTGGAAAAACGCCCTCTAACATGGGACTCCATGAGGGCCTGATGTGTGCACCTCCCTCTCTTTTCATTTTCCTTAGGCATGTGTTTCCATTTACCTGAGAAACATTACAGCATCTTGAAGGAATAATACTGTATGTGTATGTTCCTACCTCACGGTGTGATCAGACAGTTGAAAGTCATAAATGAGGTCCTATTGCATGAGAATACAGTTGCCACAACAGCTTCAGTTTGTCCCAATGATCCACTTTTCACTTGGGTAAATCCTGTGGAAAAACAAGCTTGTAATGTATTTAACTGCTAGTCTTCCTCAATATCGTAGCTCTAATATCTCATTAGCTTGGCAAATATGCTGAATCACAGTCTGTCATATGACATGCAATGGTGACAACACCAACAATTAAATTTGAGATCTGATGGAGAGGAACTTACGAGTGCCTTTCTGTAGCTCAAACAGTAGAGCATGGAGCTAGCACCACTAAGGTCATGGGTTTGATGCCCAGGAAGAGCAAGAACTGATCAAATGTGTACCTTAAATGCAATTTAAGTCTCTTGGGATAAAAAAGCATCTGACAAATGCATAAATCAGTGGTTAATGGCTTAAATTTGCGATTGCTCTTCACACAAAGTTATCGTAGGGCTTAGAATATAGCGCATTAGTCAAATGGACAACTTCTGTGATACTTTATATTGCTTTTCTGGAGCTTGGCAGTATATATCAATCTTTATTTGCAAGAAATTTTTTATTGCCAAACAAAACTTTTTGCGTTTCACAAAAGAAAGAAGATAATATTGGGTCAAAATGACTATTTTTTAATTTGGGTGAATTATTTATTTTATGCTTCTCATGCTCATCTATGTTCTATCACATAAGCAGAACTGCTGATTCAGATTAATTGAATAGTATTTAGCATTAAGAAGTCTTTCGGGGGACGTTCTTAGCCTGATAGTTTAATAACAAGACTTTGGGGTCTTGAACTCAGACCCTCTCCGTTGTTCTCTCTCAAGAGGGTCTGAATGATTGAGCGTGTGATAAACTTCAAACATATGCTAGTATCCAACGAACCCAAACAGTGGAAAATATTGCCATGAGGGAGGGCAGCAAATCCATAAGCTGTCAGTTTATATTGGTAGTCACCAAGAGCTGGTATGGTTGAGGTTTCCAACAATAACCACTGCGACTGTGTCGGAGAGAAAGCTCTAATTTTGAAGGAGGCAGCAGAAAGCTCCTGAAGACCGACCTCAGAGGTACGTATGGGGGGAAATAGTTCACTTTTTTTTCCACTGCATCGTTTTGTGTTACCTGTGTGCTTCATAAATCCAACACATGTTCCTGTTCCTGGAATCCTGAGTGTCTTTCCATCCTCACACTCCCCTCCCTGTGCTGCAGTGTTTGTGGCAGGGGCAGGTGCCCCTCCCTTGGGCAGTCAGCTCAGGAAAGTCTCCTGCTGGGCAGACGAGACTAGGCCGAAGTTTAGGCCAAGCTCCTGCTGGGAGAGAATAAGAGGCTCCCTTTCTCTAAGACACACATACACAGACCCAAATTCAAAATTCCCATCTGTTTTTTCTCTCTCTCTCTTTTTCTTTGTATGCCTATCGCTCTTCCTTACCCATTTTTCTCCCTTTATGAGCAGTGAAAGAATATACAAATCGCCCCAACGTGTAGAAAATGTATGATTGTCATTACATTAGATTGCAAAATATCAAAATAAGTGGGGGGAGGTAGCACAAATGATGAGACTTGTGTTCAAAACTTTGCAAGTTGTAAACTTTGCAAATCTTTTGAATGAGTGGTCGATTCAAACTGACCAAGTCATGTGATTTCAGGAAACAAGGTCCTGATTCTGGTCCTGATCTTAAGTGAACCCATGAATGAAGCAGTATAAAATGTAAAGTAGTAAGTTTTATAATTTAATAAAAGTTGTATTTTTGCTGCAATCTCAATGCGTTTAGTTTAACCAGCAGATGTCCCTAGAGTGCGGAATTTTACAGAGCTTCGCAAAAAAAAAAAAACCTTTTGAAAAGCAATTGGTTCAGTTGATTCAGCTTTTGAAAGCCTCACTTTAAAAAAAATTATGATCAATAAGTTATGACAGTTTTACATTGCTTTAGCTCATCAAAATAAGTTAAGCAATTTTCAACATTTTTATAAGTTATACAAAATTCAACTCATTTTTTAAAAGTCGGTTTAATGTAATTTAAGTTGAAATGACTTGAACATCCAAGTTGATTGTACTTAATTTAAGGCAGCAACTTTTTTTTAAATCACTTCTCGCTAAGCACAAATATTTTTCTAGTTAAACATTTAACAAAAAATAAAAATGTTTGTAGGCTAAAGTGTTCAATTATAAAACAATATATATGGTAGTTATACTGAAAATGTACTTACACCGTCGTGTAAGTGTATACGTTAAAAACACCTAACGTATATCGTATTTATTTACTTCTGTGATGCATGGAAGTAGCTATAGACACTTTCTGGTTGTCAAACCTTTTGGATCATGTTCATAGAATCCATACCAATTTGACAATGTAAAACAAACTGCTATGAGATTGTGTTGGTCAAAATACTTTTGGGGCCCTTGCCCATCATGACAAATAACAACAACAAAAAAATCAGTTTTTGTAATGTTTATTTGAAACCGTTTACCCAGCTAACAATTTTATGTTCTGGGAACGTTCTGGGAACGTTCCCAGAATGTTCCCTATTGGTTCTCCAGGAAAGTTTTCTTAACGTAAATAGAACGTCCCCTTAAGGTTAGGGGAACGTTCCGGGAACGTATTCGGAAAATGAAACCTAAAAAAACCTACAGGGAACGTTCTCGTTTGGTTCCCAAAAAATAACCAAATGGGAACCATACGGGAACGTTAGGGGAACTTGCTGGGTACATACAAAGACCCTTGCAGAAAGAAAAAAAAATCCCCACAATGACTTGCTAAAGGGTGCTGATCGCCGCCTTTTTTACCGTAACTTATGTTCACACACATACACCAGAACGTTTATGTCAGCATGTTGCAAATCTTGCAGATGTGTGACTGAAAACCTTTCGAACACTGCCAGCAAACAGAAGATGGCCAGCAATTAGGGTTGCCACCTGTCCCGGTTTTACCGGGATTGTCCTTCTTTTTAATAACCTGTCCCGGGAAATTTACGCACTCTCCCGGGACACTGAATGTCCCGGTTTTCGAAAGGCTACGTGAATATGTATGTTCAAACTGTGTAGCGCGCGCAACGGCAGAGAGCGAGAGACCTTGCGTGTGTGTGCTAGTGTGAGTCGAGTCTGCCTCAAGAAGCGCATAAGAAGCGCATGTAATCTGAGTGTGGAGCGCGCTTGCTGCACGAGGCGCGGGCGCGAGCACTTCCGTTTTTCTATCAACAGTGGAAACAACTTAAAATAGGCCTACTACTCTATCATTTCTGGTCATAGAAAATAAACATCATTCGCAACAATACATCATTCGCAACTACTTTTATTTGTGTAAACTCACAATAACAAGAAAACGTTGTGCTTTTGTAAAATAAAATAAAACAATCAGTCGCGCTCTTTTATGGTCTCCGTGAACTGGATCGCGTCTCAAAATAAACAAGCCCATAGGCTAAAGCTTGAAATGTCCACTTTTAAACGAACAAATTCGAATCAAAAGAAAATACAGTCTGATTATGTAATCCATATGAATTTCTTCTCTAAAGGCGCATCTGCTTTACAGCGGAGATGGAGATATGTTGCAGCCGATTTAGAAAATACTAGTTTATTAATAAACAATTAAAATGCCTCGTTACTTTTTCAGAAACATTTATAATAGCCTATAAATCATCTATAGCCTTAGAAATATAGTGTTTGGCCTTAGAAAACCATTTTATCCATATAATTTGTGAATATTTTAAATGCTTATTAAAGGGGCAAAAAAAAAATCATGAACAAAAATCTGAAAATACGCGAATATAGGATATATTTTTGCGCAGCATTTGGTGTATAGGCGGGCCTACAGTTAAAATTTAAATTTTGGTGTTCAACCGTTCATTTTTGGTCTTCAAACACCCCTCTCTCCCCCCCCCCCCCCCCCCCAGTTGGGCGGGTAATATGTCCCGGTTTTTTATCAGACATAGGTGGCAACCCTACCAGCAATACAAGTGTCTCTTTGTAGACCGAGGGGCTCTGCTGCCATAAAGCACCTTCTCCTGCCTCAATCCCTGTCTTCACACATCCATGTCAGCCGCCAAGATCAGGCGAGACCCTGGTTTGCGTGCTTTGGAGGCCGGAGGTTACATAAATGAACATCAGAGCCACTTAGGGTTGCCAACCGTTCCGTATAATACGGAATCGTTCCGTATTTGACACATAAAAGGCTTGTTCCGTATTGAACTGATACGGAACGCACTTTGTTCCGTATTTTTGAGAATCAATTCAGTGCAAATCCATGACAGACGCATAGCTTCTAATATATATGTCAGACAGACTATGATGAATGAACGAAGACCCGCTGCATGCAAATTCGGGGACTTGGCGCCACCTTGACGGGCTCTGACGTGTAATGACGTAGAGTTGGCTCATTGGTCGCACGTCAGAGGCGCCCACGCCATTGGATGTGCAGTTGCCGCAGCGCAGCCTGAGCGAGCCAGACGCTCAATGTGCAAGCTGTGCAGCTGCAAATGCATTTTACAGGCTTCAGTAAATCAAGTAAAATGTGTTTCCGAAGACATTTGTAGGCTATGATAAGAAAAACTTCCCCAAAAAATTTTTAAAAATTTTTTGCACCGAAAAGCACATTCTAGAAGTCTAATTCTATTGAATAAGTTCGCACAAGGATACAGAAAACTGTTGTGTTTATTTTTCTTCAAATGCAGTCTAAGCCGATGAGTTTCGAATGTTATATGTTGTATTTGTTTAAGTTAAAAATAAAACGTATTATAATCTAAACAAATACATGGTTCATTTGTGGCAAAATGATCATGATAGCCTTTATATATGTGGTTAAGTCCTGTATATTGATTAAGCCTACTTTGCTATTCTATAAATATATAGGCCTAATAAGTTGCATTATAATATGATATAAAATGTATGAATCCCCCCCCCCCCCCCGGCCCCCCCCCCCCCCCCGGCCCCCCCCCCCCGGCCCCCCCCCCGGCCCCCCCCCGTTCCTTATTTCCATTTCAGAAAGTTGGCAACCCTAGAGCCACTGTTCACAGTAACACACTGATTCTGACCAGCAAGCAAAACTGTTAAAATGCCATGTCTGCACCTCTCGCCATCGTCAGCTAATCTCTCCTTTCCTATGTCTGGAACTCCACACATAAGATACATATAGTGACTACTAGTGAAAATGCTTATATTTTGCATTATTCTAATTTAAACAATGGTTTTTAATACAAATCAACAACATAACATGAAAAAAAAAAAAAGGTAGCCTACATGAATTTCCACCCTGAGGATTTAGTGGAAGTAGGCACTTTTTGTGCAAATGAAGTCACATGGTTAATATGATCATATTTAATTACTAAGAATTTCACGCCAAACTTTGTTATACATTTCTTAACGTTTGAAAACATAAAGGTTTAAACTTTAAAAGGAAATCAGTTCCAGAATCTTTTAAATGGGACTTGAATTATATGGACACTGCAAATAATACTGTAGAGGTTTTGTAGAGATCTTGCACCTCCTTGTGGTCAGATATAGCTAATAGCACCTGAAAATCTGTCATTTACTTCAGCCTTCCATAGCCCCTCTAAATTGATTTCACTACGAAATTAAGGCTTAAAAAATATCTTAATACAAATGCATCCGAATATTCTAGTTACCATATCTGTATTCTAGAATAGGTCCTTGTGTCAATGTGTAATACAAAAAAAACCCATCCAAAGTCACATCTTTTATGCTAGTTTCACATTTAGTTTGACATGCAGACAGGAAAGATTCTTCAAAAGAACCATTCCATTAAGAGTTGTCAAGCAACATCTTAAGGTTTATTATCAGCTGAAGTGGAAAAACAGCAAGAAAACATTCACTGGAAATCAAAGCCCTTTCCGAGGTGGTACAGTTCTCCTAGAAAGAACTGATTACTCGTGTTCAAACATTTGCCCATTCTTCATAGCACCTAAACTTATGAACATGTTCTATTACTCCCAAAATGCACAATTGCCCGAAGCTATTTCCTGAAATAATAAATTATGTAAACAAAATTGTTAAAAACACTACTTAAATTAACAACATTGCCTAGGCATTCTTACAAATAACTTTAATATCATATTTTTTTATTATATAATAGTTGTTTGAAATTATTATAAGATATATTTTTGTATAACATGTTGCCCTAAATATACATTACTGTAAAAACGTAAACGTTAGTATTTTCACCAAAAAAACTAAAACAAAGGTTAAGCTAGTTATTTATATCTTTTGCTGTAGTGTCTCTAGGAAATATCATATTTTAGGCACTCTGTTGTCAGACTCCTTGTGCATGTGCATACAAAAATGGATTATTACAATTTGGATTATTACAATTAATGGCAAAAAGAATGTTTGGAAATCTAAATTTCCTACTGACACACTACAGTATTTACAGTTATATAGATATAAATAACTGGCTTAAAACCTTTTTTTGTGTGAAAATACTAATGTGCATAAGACTTTTGCATAGTACTGTACATCAATAAAAATAAAAAAAGACAATGTGCAAGGCTGAGAACCCATGTGCAAAGTTTTATTGATTTACTGTATGTTAAATTATGATTTCTCCTCCAAAAAATAAAAAATCTAGACTAACCAGCAATTGAATGCATGAACTTTTAAATCAAATGTACAGTAGTTTGTATATAAAATGTAAACATTTTATCAACATCTTATGTTACATGTGGACATGTCAGCATCACATGCAGTGAGGCACAGCCCTGCACTCAAGAAGTGCTCTTGTTTACACGTCGCTTCGGTGTAGAAGGATTGTTTCCAGAGTCCTTGAGAGCCCATTTGTGGGATTGTATGAGAGTGTTAATGTTTTTTAGCTTTTGTCTCAGTTGTCTTGAAATGCGATTCCTTGAATGTCGTGTGAGGTGAGCGATTGGACGACTTGTTCGGTTTAAAAACTTCAGGAAGGCCAATACATCCAGTAAGTAGTGTCTGACATTCATGTTACCATTCTGAAGGGTCACCACCCACCTTAAAATAAAGTTTGACAAGTTTAACATTTTAAATGACCATTTCATTTTTTTTTTTACCTTTTACTGTTCTTAGAAATATGAACATTAGAGATTATACTATTGAGATAAGATGATAATTAAAGATGGCAAGTGAAAGGTTAATGCTAATTTTAAATATAAACAAGGTAGTCTAGCAGCCCAATAACAAAACAATGTTTCCTGTTTTTGGACATTGAGTTTAGATTTTTACATAAAGAACAATCATAAATCTATGAAATGCTAAACTTTGAACAGATTATAAATGATTTCAGTACTCACTCATTAATACGCTCCGTGTTGTCCAAAAAGAGTAATGTTTTGATTGGAGGATATCCTTTTGTCATGTGGAGAATGAAATCTCTCACATGATTGACCTTCTGTGTAGTGTTTTCGCTCGCCTTGCATAGTGGATTTTTACCCAAGCAATTCTTGTGGAAGCCTTTGAGAAGTTTCTCTGCACAAAAGGTAAAAACACAAAATGGCCATTAACAGTCCCTATAACAGCAATGTAAAATGCTTTAATACTTACAATTAAAATGATGGAAGCTGTGATTTTAAAATTATGGCTACTATGAATGAACATATATACATACTAATTGAATCTAATAAAAATGAGTCACACTCGCTTTCTAAAATTAAGACTAGTCCCCAAGTAACAGTAATCATGTGATCATAATTAAAATGCTTGCATAGATAAAGTTGTTCTTACCATAATCAAGATCACAATGTGGAGAGCAGACTGAGTGCTGGGAGACTTTTGTACAAATAATGGCTCGAATTCGGTTTTGAAGAACTGCAATCTGTATTTGGAGTTCTTCTCTGACTTTGGCAAGAATTAGACAGTTTTCACATTGACCCTTCATGGCCAGTTCAGAAACTGTGCTGACAAGTTGAGCTGTGGTAGAAGACACTTGATTTGTCTGCATGTGGGTGGTCTGGTTTGAGATGCTATTAGAACAGACTTTTATGTGATCCTTCCTGTCCATGCTCTGTTCCTCAATGGCCTCTTCAGTCTTCAAATCTTCACTTTTGAGAGTTTGTATGGGATGCTCTGAAGGTAACAATTCCACTGTAGAACAATTGGTACGAATTTTTTTTTAATATATACATTTTTAATATATAGCAAATTTCATAATAATGTAAATTCTAATGTTGTGATGCCTAAGGGTGCTTTTCACACTAGCACTTTTGGTGTCAGTGATGTCAGTTTAGTTCAACTTCATTTGGATGATGTGAACACTGCTATTCGAACTCGGATGGGGACTGTACCGGAGTCTGCTGATATAACACAATCACACTAAAAGTGAACCGCCATTGATACCGTATGATTAGATAAAACTCTTTTTTGAGTTTGTCTGTATTCTTACTCACTTTCTGGACAAGTGTGACAGACGCACTGTAAGCAGAGAGAATGTATATCTCATATACAAGAGAATGTATATTCTTTTCGCATTCGGCAAAAATTGACACCCTCGTTCTTTAAAACATTTGCAGTATGACGCTTTGAAAACAAAACCAAAGGTCCCAAAAAAATGTAAGCCTGCGCTTACAAAAAGTCTGATTTTTAACCCACATCTGACACAGTAAACAAAAATACCTAACGAGATCCTATTTATTCTCATCCGATCTGAACCACTTCCAAATGTGGTTTTAAATCAGATGCATATCTGATTTCTGGACATCCGACCTACGTCTAAACACTAATATCCGATTCACGCGTTTTCAACTGGTCAAAATACCATCATATGCAGGCTACGCACATACAACGAGCGCATATAGCCCAGCACACAGCATAGTTTTGGATGTTTGATAAGTTCCATCGCGAAATAAACATCATAAAAGCAGACCAATCAGGTTGTGAATATATTCCTGTGCCTTTAGGTTCGGTGTTAAAATCCCAATGTGAACGCTAAGCGGACCAGGACTAAATGTTTTTTTTGTTTTGTTTTTGGTCCAGACAAATCGAACCGAGAGAACCAAACTACATGTGTGAACACCCTAAATGTCATAAAATTAGCCAATAAGTGTTTCATATCAGCATAATAACATTAAATTCATATAACAATATTACAGATTACTTGCCATTTCCACAGTAACGATCAGTTTCTTCTTTTAGTTTGTTGAAAGTAAGTTGAACTCGGTGACTAGCATCTACACGCCCAGACATCTCTGGATCTTCCTGCATGCACCAAAACTCTGACTCGTCTGGGTCTTCCAGCTTCACCTGTACTGGGTCTTCCAGCTTCACCTGTACTGGGTCTTCCAGCTTCACCTGTACTGGGTCTTCCAGCTTCACCTGTACTGGGTCTTCCAGCTTCACCTGTACTGGGTCTTCCAGCTTCACATGTACCGGGACTTCCTGCTTCACCTGTACTGGGTCTTCCTGCTTCACCTGTATGATGTCCACACTGAAAGAGGACGAATCTGGAAGTGGAAAGAGAGATGTGTTAAGATTCTCATTAAAGTTCATTGATAAATCATTCATATACTGTATAAAACCTATCATCTCAGCCATTAAGTGGCCCATACACACTGTAAAGTTTCAGGAGTGTCAACCTCATTTAGATGCGGGAGTGAGTTATTATTCTGTGTGTGTACGGAACACGACTCAATCCAGAAATTACGATGATTGACACCACGGTTACTATAGCAGTGTTCTGGTGGCTTGAAGTTGGTATGTTATTTTAGACCAAAAGTAATATTACAGCAAACAAATACTCATGTTCTACAATTTTAACAGAATCGGTTTAGCTTATGCTTGGAAGGCTGCTTTGCAGAGTGCACTCTTGAAGTGATGCCATGTTCACTTGTTATTTTGTACATTCATTTTTCAAGAGTTAGTTACTGAATTCTGTGTGTGTAAAGAACAGGATTAAGCAGTAAAAGGTTAATTTAACTGCAGTGTGCACGTGGCCAGTGTCTTCTGGACCAGCATTTTGCTCAATAGCAGGTGCTTGTTACAAAAATGTATATTCAGCCACACAGAAAAATATGTACTTGCCATTTCCATCACCATCTCCTTGCACTTGCTCAAGTTTAAGTGAAACTGAGCTCCAAGGACCAAAACCCTCCGACTTAATCTCCTGCCCTTTGCTAGAACAAAAGATCACGTCATGCTCTCTGAAGAAGCTGCTAATAGTTACATATATCCACAATACAGAATCAGATGAAATACTGTGGGAGCAAGTGCTTTGTAACTTTGAATTATACTGTTTGCTTAGCTGATCCAAATTATTAAACATCCCTTCAGAGCACCGTAAAGCCACATTGTTTGAAAAACATAAACGCGCACAGCCAGAGTAGAAAAACAATGAAAACATCATCAGATGATCATGCAATGAAGAAAAAAAAATCGCATAATCTCCCTTGCTAAAGATGCCTTACACAATACCTATAAGGATATTAATTTTAAACAAGGTTCAATAATCAAGGAAGGCCATTTTCATACAAAAAGAAAAAAGAAAAAAAGAAGACATTTCACTCACCGGTCGGACAAAATAGTCGAAACAGCTGCAGGTGGTGGTCTTGTGAATCCATGCACCAAAGGTCTGGATGTTGCAGTTTTCTCGTAACTTTGAAAACATAAAAAATAGTTGATGTTACACCGTAGCTGTTGTTAGCGTTGAGCTAATTCGTAAAGGTAATAAACGCGTAAGCTAAATATCTCAAAACAGTAGCAAACTCCACCAAAAACAAGCCAGACCATATATTACCACTCCAAAAGAAAAACAGCAACCATAGCGTCGGTTTTCAGACCCTTTGAGTCCCGCAGTTGTCTCCAGCGTGGAAAAGCAACACCGATGTTAACTCTAGTTTGAGCTCTTGCATTATCCAGACGTTTTTTTGTCGTAGCAAGTTCGAATACGGTTTTTCTTTTCCTACCTTTGTTTCCTGTCCCAAGTGTTGTTGGTTGAGGAGGAACTACAAAAGGTGGCTGCTGTTTATATGCCATTGTCGTTCAGTGATCGTTACAGTAAGCAACGCATTTGCTATAGTCTTCTGCTTGAAACGCGCCGATGACGTGTGTTGTCTGCGCGAGCAGGGTGCGTATGTAAACCTGATGTAAACACATAGGTAGACCTACGGACCGCATGCAATGACTGGTTGAACATTTTATGGTCCTGATTTAAAGCTATAGTCTACGATGTTCAAAATCGGTCGAGAAAGCCTGTGACGGTTGGGAAGTTTTAAAAAAACTTATCCCGCCCCTCCACACACACACACACACACACACACACACACACAGACAGAGCCATAGAGAGAAATGGCTCTGCACACACCCCTCCCCTCTGTGCTACCTGATCCCTCCCACCGGGAAACGACCTGAACAACGTCACTCAGTGATCACCGGTAGTAAACATCGGAACAGAGATGTACGTAAAATACTTCTAGTATTGCTAAGGTTTTGAGTAATTGTTATAGCAGCACACAGCGCATCTTGTTCAAATTCCGATCGGCTCGAACAGAAACCCGCTAGGCCTACTGAAATATATTCAAGCACTTCAAGAAATATAATTACTTTGACCCGTGATAGGCGATGCTAAACGGCTAACATTCCAACGCCGACCGGCAGCATGAGCATGTTGTCAGACTGATAAAAAGCTATTTATGTAACACGTCACACCATAAAGTATAAATAAATGTTTACCTGCTCAACAAAAAGTCAGCCGTGTCAGCGTCGGTTTTCAGTCCCAGATCTCCCTGAAGCTTCCTCCAACGGTCAATGGTGAACCCTATATTTATCCTACTTAGAGTCCGGCGTTCTTCACATTTTTTTTTAATCTCTGCTCTTTCCTCTACAGACTTTCTCTTTCGTCCAAGCTTTACAGTAGGGGCAAGCAGGGGCCGCTTGCTGCTGTCGTTTATTTTTTTATCCATTGCTGATCTGATGCTACTAGCTTGCTCGCGCAATTTCATGTCGCAGGAGGGGGCGGGGTCGGGTGCGTTGGGGTGAAGACGCGAGCGCCAGGCGGAGTTTCAAGTGGAGCTGGTGATTGGATGAGAGCAGTTGACCAATGTAAGCTGTCCGGCTGGACAGCTTACATTGGTCAACTTCTCTGCAGCTGTACACCCAATAGAGTGAATGAATTTTTTTTCATTCTTTTTTCTCTTTATATTGTTAGGATTGTACTTAGAACCATAACCAGCATCTAAACGAGGTTATTAATAATGAACAATCTTTGAAATCGTAGACCATAGCTTTAACATTTAGAAAACTTTAATTATTGATTGCTATCAGGATGTGAAGAGACTTTCAACCACTATAACAAAAATTTTATAGTTGAAAGTTATATTCAACTGTCTGAAAACAAAACAAATGTGTTCACCTTGGTTAATATGTACATAATAAGAGTATAAGGTGCAGTGTGTGTAGATTTTAGCAGCATCTCATCTATAAAACTATGTGAACTAGTGGTGGTACGGTTAACACCGGGGCTCCTATGCAGTTTTCAAAGCACTATTGTATCACACACTGCACCAATGCTTGTATCGAAATGACAATACCACGTGATTGATGACGTTTGAAGCTTCGAACGTCATGCAGCATCGGAAGGTCGGAACTGGTTTGAAAAAATTGGTGCTTTGCAACCCTACCTGAGGCATAAAAAGGGAAATTATTATCAAGGCAGCATTATTTATTTAACACTATACTTGCCTAAAATAAATTGTAAAAAAAACACACAAAAAAACAGAACACACAAAATATTTTTCTAACTACTCACGTCAATTACGAATTATGATCATTTGTATATTTTATATTATTGATCAATATGTGAATCCGTTGACCATGGAGCAATATGTGAAATCCATGGTCTCATTGGCACAAATTATTTTAGATGAGATTAGATTACTGTAATGAATGCCCATTTAAGACGAATGAGCCAATCAGAGTAGGTATGGGGCGAAGCGACACGTGCAGCTCCGCCCTGATCTGCAGGCTGCTGCCAGGTACTTGTACCCATAGATATACATAATAAAGGTATGTATGCCTTTATTATGTATATCTATGCTTGTACTGCTCACCCCTCCATTTCGAAAGAAGCTACGGTGGCCAAAACAGGACAAACATGTCATCGTCTGAGACAGATTATGTCTAGGAGCAGTAAAAACATCGCCAGTGTGTGCTCTACAAGTTGAAGCGGGAGAAATGCCACTGAACATTCGACGTAAACAATGGGCTCTATGCACGGCGGTATTTCCGGTGAAGGTCTAAGGATGCTGGATTACTTCCGCCGATCGTAGAGTCCAATGCTATACCTGAGAATTTATATTGGTTTTTATACTCTATTGCTATACTAAAGAAACGTTAGTCACAAAAACAGACAAAACCGACACCCCTCATTTTGTTTATGCTTCTTTGTTTATTATATTAAATAAACATAACTATATATAAAATTACATCTAAACGTATTAAAGTTTCGTTTCAAAGACGAGAGGACAGTACATTTTGAAGACTCTGCCATAATCCCGTTTTCCTCGGTTTTCCTCCGCTTTAAATCTCCCCAACCGGAAACGCAAGAGCATCCTTGCATCAAACGCGGAAGTTATGCGTCCATATAGCCCATTGCTTGTAAACTATTGGAAAAATCAAAAAGGACATAGTCATAGGAGATAGTCATCCAACCAAAAGAACACTGCGTGAGAACATAGTGTGGTGAGAGCGGCATGGCTTGTTGGACATAGCAACATTAACTAAAGGGGGCATTTTTTTTGCAAACATTTTTTATCAAAGAGGTGAGGTAAGCAGACGAACCACAAATGATCTGAGTGTGTATGCAGTTGAATTATACGCTATCATGATGGCACTAGAATGGATTGGGGAAAATAAAATAAAAAAAGTTTTTATTGGAAGTGATTTAGTGTCAGCTCTGTACAGTCTCATGACAGGTATGTCCAAAAATCAGGCAAAAATGCTCTGAGATTCAACTGATTTGGATTCCTGTTCATATTGGCATTGTGGGTAATGAGAGAGTAGACAAATTAGCCAAACAAGCTGTTAAAAAAAGAGAATATTGAAACAAAAATTAAGATGTCAAAGTCTGAAGGAAAGAGTATAGTATGGAAAGAAGCCATTAGAGAATGGCAACATCAGTGGGACAGGGAGACTAAAGGGAGACATTTGAATGCTATTCAAAATAAAGTGCTGTGAAGAATATAGGAGGGAATAGAAAAGAAGAAATAGTTATGACCAGATTAAGGATAGGTCACACACAATAATATAAAAGGCACGCTATACATGATAAGTAAGCACCCAACTGGTGTTTGTGGCTATTGTCAGGTTACAGAATCTATAGAACATGTGCTTATGAGTTGCAGACAATATAAATAACAGAGGAAAAAGACGATGGAAGGATTAGGAAAAGGTGGAATAACAGGGACAGAATTAGAATTTAGTAAAAACTAGAAAGTGGTGAGAACGAACAAAGCAGAAGAAGCATTTGCAGTTTTTTTTTAACAAGGATATAAATA